ACAACATGCCTATAGAAAGTTCATCTAGGGCCAGGAACACTGCCTTGACATTCTTCTTAACACTCACCTCCTGAGGTCCTTAGTTGGTAGAAGCCTCCCAGAGTTTGCTCCTCTCCACTGTTTGGTTTGGTTTTTTACTTTTGTTTATTCTTCTTTTTCTCTTATTATTCTCTTAAATTTTATCCTTTCTATCTCTGATTTTGTTTTTCCTTCCTTTCTTCTGTTATCATTTCCCCTCTTTTACCTTTTGATCATTCTTTACTAATATCTACTGTCTTTCTTTTTTCATCTTCCCTCTCTTTGATTTTTCTGTTCTTTTAACTTTATTTTTAATTTCCTTTTATTTTCTCTGTTATTTTTCTCTTCTATAGCTCCATTTTCATTCTCTTAATCTCATTTTATTCTTTCTTTTTCTAGTTTCTGCCTGTATTTATTTTTTTCTCCTTTTATTATTTTCTCTTTTCATTTTTGGCTGATTGTATGTTTATTCTTTTAGAGGGACATTTCTCTTTCCCACCCGACAGGAGACAGCAACCATGCCCATACAGGACAACCACAGCCATGTTCTCTGTGGCTACACCCATTGGGCAAGATTCAGTGACAGCTCATATACCACCTGATCAATAATAGACAGCAGCCAACACTAGCTAAAGCCTCCCAAAACTGAGGTGTGCAAGTGCAAACCAGGCACACGCTTCTATTCTCTAACTATACCCACAGGAGACAGATGACGAGAGCCTAAGGAGACAGCAACATACAATTAAGTAAGTATAAATATGACAACACCCCAACGTCCTGGAGACAACAGGCAATTTTAACTCACACAAAGAAAATAGAAAGACACTTAAATGACTAAGACAGAGAGCCAGAAAACATTTCTGAAGAAGCAGAGGTAATGGAGCAAACTGAAAAAGAATTCAAAAGAATTAAATTTAGATACCTTCAAAGGATTGACAGAAAGATTGAGGAAAGCAAGGATAACACAGCAAAAACTTGAGAATTCAGGAAAACACCACAATATCAAATAAACAAAATAAATGCAAATTTTGAAACAGTGCAAAGCTGCAATTAGAAATTAAGATGATTTCTAAGATCTCAGAAATGGACAATACATTGAAAAGGCAAAAGAGGGATTCAAAGCAATGGAAGCCCAAATCAGTCAGGTTGAAGTTAATCTCTTAATTCTAGTATGCTCGAAGAACAATTAAAAAAAAAGATTTAAAGCCAAAGAGTTATATAGGACATAATAAAGAAGAATAAATTAAGGTGATTGGAATTCCAGAATGGGAAGAAACAAATGTTTAGAGAAAATTTACAAATATTTGTTAGAAAAAAAAGTTCTATAATGTCATGAAAAATGAGAAGATAAGCATAAAACAACCTGACTGGACCCCAAACAGGTTAGATCCCAAAAGAAATTCACCAAAGCATATCATAATCAAACTTCCCAAAACCAAAGACAAGGAAACAATCCTGAGAGCCGCTCAGGAAAAAGGAAAAGTTACGTACAGCAGAGAAACATTGACTGACCTTGGATTTCTCAGCAGAAATCACCTAGGCAAGAAGGCAATTGAATGATGTATACAAAACTCTGAAAGCAAAAAGATCGCCACCCAAGAATCATATGCCCAGCAAAGGTGTCCCTCAAATATGATTGCAAAATTAGGACATTACCTGGTAAACAGAAATTAACAGAATTTGTAATGACTAGACCAACTTTACAAAAAATGCAAAAGGGTATTCTTTGGATTGAGAACCAAAAACAGTAGACAATGTGAGATTACCATATATGACAACAAAAGTCAATCTCAGTATAAAAGTAGTTATAGTAAAACACCACCATTCATCTAGCAGTTTGTTGTACTGTGGTGGCTTGTGTATTGCTGTGATTTTGGAAGCTATTCCACATGTATTTGAAATACCAGCAGGGTCACCCACAGTGGACAGGTTTCAGCTTGGGCTACCAGAAGACAGATTAGGATAGAGGAAACACATGCTGCTTCCAAATATCTACTTACTGAAAAACTTGTGAATAGTAGTAGAACATTGTCAGTACCAGAAGATTATTAGACATAGTGTCGGAAGATGAGCCCCTCAGGTTGGAAGGCACTCAAAATACTACTGGGGAAGAGCTGTTTTCCTCAAAGTAGAGTTGACCATGGTGATGCGAACGGATTAATGCCTTTAAGGGACCAACATTTAATGATGGGGCACAACTCAAAATGAAGAGAATGTAAACATCCATTAATGGTCCGAACATGGAATGTATGAAATATGAATCTAGGAAAATTGGAAATTGTCAGAAATGAAATGAAATGCATAAAGATGGATACCCTAGTTTTTAGTGACCTGAAATGGACAGGTATTGGCATATACATTTGAATAATAATAATATTAACTGGTCTTCTTTATAGGCATATGACTATTAACCCTATCACTGACAGCAATCTACTTCATGATTGATCTTGAAATTGTTTTTGACATTAAATGTGTACCTTACCACTGTACCTTATCAGTTTGTTATTCCAGGCATAATAGACTCCATGATGTCAACTCAAAATGGCTAGTACCTATCCATTTTTCACAAGGAGCTCTGGTAGCATAGTGAACTGCAGGGTCAGCAGTTCGAAACTACCAGCAGTTCCGCAGGAGAAAGATAAGGCTTTCTGCTCCCGTAAAGATTTATAGCTTCAGAAACCCTGTGCAGGGTCACTATGAGTCGGAACCGACTCCACGGTACTTAACAACAACAGTGCCTAGTATATTGATCTTCAAGGGTTCCATTTCATTTTGACAACTTCTGGTTTTCCTAGATTTATATTTTTTATATTCCACATTCCAGTTACTAATGAATGTTTGCAGCTCTTACTTTTCATTTTGATTGTTCACACACACACACAAATGAACAGAGGTGCAATGGGACTAAAAGAGAGCGAAGCTTTCAAGGGAATTTGAGGTGCAGAGGAGAAAATTGGGGAGCGCCTGGGTCCACTTATTTCATCCTTCTCAGCTCAGTAATAGAAGAGAAGATCATTTGAAATGGAGAGAGTTGGGATTGGTTTGTAGTTGGGCAGAAAGGAGAGGGCATCTTTTAAAAATTAAACTGTGGCTTATTTGCATCTTAAGGCACTCTGGTAAAGTAGTGGTTATGAGTAGGACTGCTGACCTCAAGTTCAGCAGTTCGAAACTACCACCTGTTCCGATGGAGAAAGATGAGGCTTTCTGCTCCTGCAAAGATTTACAGCTTCAGAAACCCTATACAGACTCGCTGAGTCAGAACCAACTCCACAACACATAACCACCACCCCTGATTTGAATTTAATTTACTTAATTAAAAAAAAATAATCTTACCTAATAAAAAGGGGCATGTTTGCAATAATGGTAGTGTTTAAGAGTTACCAAAAATCAAGATTAAATTGGAATTTAACTGGGCAGTGTTATTGGTACACTATTGGGTGTACTGTTCTCTTAAAGAAATTTTGTATAGTACTTTGACAAAAATCCAAAATTTTCTGTTTTCTGAGGTGGCAGTGTTAAAGACAAGACTCCAGTTGACAACTGACAATTCTCAGGAAATCACAAACAATCTTTAATAGTTAATATGACAAATCTTGGGATTTTCATTAGTATAAGATCCCTGGTGTGGTGCAGTTGGATACGCACTGTACTGCTAACTGCAAGATTATAGGTTCAAACCCACCAGCCACTCCTTGAAAACCAACTCAAGAGCACATAACAAGAAGGAAATTAATTTTTGTTTTTGTTTGGTCATCGTCTCTCTTACTTGCTTACATGTTCTGTTTGGAGACAATGTAGGATACTGAAAAAGAAATGTCTATTATTGGTTGAGTAACTTTGGTGTAATTATATTACTTTCTTTTATACTCATCTTTATTCTCTGTAAAAATAGGAAATTTTAATTATTATACTTGATGGCATTGTTAAAGTTTAAAATGCTTCAACAAGCATCTGGTAAATGGTAGTTACTTTCCCAAAGCTTATAGTATCCTCTTTGTTGTCCATAAACTAAAAAGGCACCCACAAAATGCATTCTTTTCAGTCAGTTTCTTTTTTTTTTCCTGGATGTCTCTTGGTTCTAATTCTTGCATCCTGGAAAAACAAATTAGAAGCTTTTTAGTTGCTTCAGTCCTATTCTATTGACTTGTCATTCTTGGTCTTCTCAGTACACTTGAATCAGAAACAAAACAATGTTTTAATTATCGTATTCCAGGTAAAGTATACTATCATAATTGGGGCCAGGGTCGAGTGACAGAATAGACCCCCAGGCCCCCTTGGTGCTGAGCAAAAGCAGGGTCTCTGAAACAAACCAATATTTTCCATTGTAGCCTGGAACTAGTCTCCTAGCCTCTTTCCAACTAAGATCCTGGAAAACAGCATTTTTCTTTTAGCTTTGTAGGCTATTAGGGTTATATCAGAGGTTAACAAGCCCACCATAAAAGAAAACATATGGGTCATGTAAGTTTAACAAATGTTATAAATCATATCTGGAGTAGTCCTAGTGTAGCTCTATGGACTAATGCACTGGACTTCAAGGTTGGTTTGAATTTCAAGGTCAGTGGTTCAAGCTCATCAGCTGCTCCTCAGGGTCATTATGAATCAGAACCAACTCAACAGCACTTAATAACAGCAAATAGATCATCTCTACCTCTCAAATTCACATGCCAATAAAGTGTTTTGAGATGTAGCATAAATAAAGAAACCTGTTGAACTTTGCTTACCCCAGCACGTCTAGGGTTGTTGAGCTACAGCTCATTTTGAAAAATACCCTTCTTTATCCTATGGTTCCCATCTGTGTTTTTCCTTCAAATTCCTAACCTCAGAAATAGGCTGTATGCTTCCTAGTTATATGGAGATAGGTAAGCTCTGGGAACTTGTGTTCCCACTTCTTAGCATCTCACTCTATGATTTATGAATTTTTTAGCTAAATTTATATTTACATACATGATTGGAATGATTTTTTTTTTCTCTCTCTCATGTAGCCCAGTGCATGGAAAGCTAACAGAATGGAACACAAATCAGGGTCCCTTTCCACTAGTCGGGAATCTGCTTTTACCAGTCCAATTTCTGTTAACAAACAAGTGGTACTGGCTGGTGGCACAGTTCTAAACTCTCCAAAAGAGGTGAGTGAAGGTAAAGCAGATCTGCTCTTGCTATACTTGCCATTTCCCTTACTTGTTCTAAGATAAATGCATTGTAACATATACAGCTCTAACCTTTGTAACTGAAAATTATTTCTTTATTAATAGTTTCCTGTTTCATCAAGAGGTGAATAATAGCTGGGGGAAAGGGTGAAATAGCTCTGTGATATGCCAGAATCAATCTGTGTTACTCTGGTATTCACCTAGTTTCTATAGAAAAAGGAGATGCTTTATCAGTTAGGTTCAATGATTACAGTCCCTGCCCTGCAGTAAGTTATCCTGCTTCCTTCCTGTTGATCCCCATTTACAGCTTTTATTGCACAGATGAACATTAAAAAATATTTGATGTACACATACCAATATGTACATATAGTCACATACATAGGGCACATTCTGCCAGCCCGCAACTGCTCCATGCCACCATCTCTGCTGTCGCTACTTTTCTAAGTCAGGATTTCACACTCTACTCATGCTCTTCCTTCTTGACTGTCCTGGGATCATCTGTTCCTGATGAACTACTCCCCTCTTTTAGTTACACATATAAAGTTACAGTTGTGGCAGTCACAATCCTGCTAACAGTTACTCACAACTGAATCATAAAATTTTATCACCATAATCCCTCATCCCCTTTCACCAGATCAATCTGAAAAATAGGGAAAGTATTGAGTGGGAAGCCTACCTTACCCTCTCACACCATCTTGAAACTAAGCACAGCCACTTCATGCCACTATTACCACCTCCTCTTTGATAGCCAATATCTAAATTTCTTGTCATTATCAAGACAGTACACTTTGGAAACAAGGTTGTTCCTTAGTAAGAACAGTCCTTCTCATGTTTGGAATTTTGAGTCACTGGATTCATAAGCAAAAGTCTAGTTCATCAAATTATATAGCAATTTGCACTTGTTCACGGTATCAGATATCTTTATCTTCCTCTGGTCGAGTTCTGGCCAACTAGCCATCCAAGCTAGGTCAAATGGGTGCTAGCTGCAAGTTTGGGAGTTCATGCATACCTCCCTGCACTTCAGACCAGCTGGCTGCTTCACTTTCAGCCCTAGCCTTCAGGAGCTAGGTTCATGAGCTCAGGAGGTCACAAATCTTCAGACCAGCAGGCCTTTCCTCTTGTCTCTCATCTCAAGGTCAGTGGGTACCAGTGGAACATTGTCAGACTTACTCCGTGTCTTCGTTGCTTCAGTTCCCCCACTTCTACTTCATACTACACTGCTCACAGGTTCCCTTTAAGTTTCAGTCTTAGAAAGGGGTTTTCCCTGATTGTCTGACTTTTTAGGGACTGTAAAATGATTCAACCACTCTGAAAAACAAAAAGTATGGCTCTTACTCAGAATGTTGGAAATAATAAATACCTTATGACCCAGCAGTCCCTCTGTTGTTGTTAAGTGCTGTCCAGTCAATTCTGACTTATAACAACCCTGCATAACGTTTCCAGGAAGCAGCTGGTGGGCTTGAACTGCTGACCTTATGGTTTGTAGTCCAGTGCTAATCCTACACCATTCCAAGAGCCCACAATCCCTTTACTTGGTGTATATCCACAAGAAATAGGAGCCAGGGCACAAGGAGATACATGCACACCAGTATTCATCGCAGCACTATTCACAATAGCAAAAACATAGACATCCTAAGTGTGCCCATCAATGGAAGAATGGTTACACAAATTTTGGTACATCCACACAGTGGAATTCTATGTAACCTTAAAGAATCATGATGAATTTGCAAAGCACATCATAATATGGATGTCCCTTGAGGACATTATGCTGAGTGAAATTAGTCACAGAAGGACAAATATTGCATGAGACCATTACTGTCAAAGCTTAAGAAAAGATTTCCATACTAAAAGAAACATTCTTTGATGGGTATCAGGGTTGGGAAGGAGGTAAGACTGATTCACTGATAGAGGGTAGACAGATGTTACCTCAGGTGACAGGAAGGGCAATACACTAGGAGGGAGAGGGCAGTAAACAAGAAGAGGGATGGTGGCAGATGAACAATGAAGATAGGGAAGTATGCATGGGCAAAATGGAATAGAGGTAAATAGTGATGTATATACAACCTTGGAACAACAGTGTTTTGTGAGTAGACACATAGATTGAGACATAGGCTAAACAGGTAAAGGAGGGGGGAAATGTTTACATATTTCACTATCTTATAGATATTGGTTTTCCCTGCCTATTGTTGTAAAATAGACATTTATATGTAATAAAAATGAATATTGGGAATTATGATGGCAGAAAGCTTGTAAGCACACCTTCAGCCTATTAACTGATTGCCCAAGGAAATAGATTTCTTATTAAGCTTTTATAGAGTAGTTGGGAGGGGCTTTAGGTAGAATACTGAGCCCCACCTAGAACCTTTTGAGTTGGGTCATTTGCATTTGAAAACACATACTTGGAGAACAGCAGATTATTATTGAAACAAAGACTTAGAAAAAAAGTGGACTGTTATGTGAATTTTAATCAAGCTGCTTGCTTTGGAAATTTGGTTTATTTTTTATTAGTTACTTTTAACTGTAAAAACCATGCAAAGCTGAAGTATGTTTAAATGATGAAAAGGACTGATTGTTTATCAGATTTTAGAAATCAGTCTATATAGAAATAATCCAGAGAATCCCAATTCCTTGTCTTTGCTGTTAAGAGTAAAATGTTTTTGGTTTTTGACTAGAGTCCCTCTAGCACCACCCCTCCAATTGAGATCAGTTCCTCTCGTCTGACCAAGTTGACCCGCCGAACTTCTGACAGGAAGAGTGAGTTCCTGAAGACTCTGAAGGATGACCGGAATGGAGACTTTTCAGAGAACAAAGACTGTGACAAACTGGAGGATGTAAGAGCAGAGGGGCTTCCTAGGATGGCATAGAGGGAGGAAAAAAGGGCTCTCCCCGTATTTCCCTATGTTTAAGTATACAGAGGGGTTTTTATCCTAAGAGACATGGGTATGGCAAGTTTTTCCAATGTGCAGTTGACATGTTCTTTTCAAGGGTAGCACTGCTATCAAACAAACTGGTCAGTGCTGTGAGAAGTAGGTAAATTACTGAAGCTTTTATTTGTTACAGTTGCATTTAACAGTAATAAAAGAAAAAGTTGACAAATAGAACTAGTTAACAAGTTAGAAATTTGTGTCCTGGAACAGAAGATTGGAGGTAGGCAATCCAGTGACAACTCAGTGTTAGCATTAGGAAATCTGTCACTTTTCATCAATTGGTGTAGGATGGCTTTGCACTTATAGGTATATCCATGTTCTATGTAGGGAAACGCTTTCTGCCATGTTTTAAAAATGTTTCTTAGAAATCAAACTCCGCAGTTTCCACATATGCTTCATTAGCCAGTTGTCTGATAGCCACTCCTAGCTGCAAGGAAGTTGAGGAAAGTAAACATTTTTAGCTAAGTATATTGGTTTCTCAGTCAAGCGATCGAAGTTCTATATGCACGGGGAAGTTTGACATCATGGAAAGTTAAGAAAAGATATTTGTCCTAGGGAATCTCAGCAAGATGAGCAAATCCATTTTTAAATGGAGAAAATCTAGGGACTGAGTCTGTTTTCTAGAAAGCGCACCTCCATCCTGTGGGTTGCTTATCTTGCCACAAAAGATTGTTAAACTCAATGCTTTCTACATTTCCCTGATGCAGCTGGAGAACAACAGTATACCTGAACCAAAGGAAAATGGAGAGGAAAGCTGTCATCAGAATGGCCTTACTCTCCCCGTAGTAGAAGAAAGAGAGGTCCTCTCACATTCTCTGGAAGCTGAGCACAGGTGAGTAAGGATCCAGTCAAACAACATATGTAGCATAATGGCCTGTAAGGACCTTGCTCATACTTGAAAACGACATCTCAAATTCAGTCTAGTATACATAGAGAAATCCAACAAGCACCATAACAGGCTCACTCCACATGCCCCACATTGTCCTTTGCCCAGTGAGCGTTTCCTTTCTAATTCAGTCATCATTTTCACACTCTCATCCCACCAAGGCTTTAATGTGATATTGTTTCAGACTAATTTTATGGGAGGAGAGAGGAACCTGTTTTCTGAAGCTTGGACTGACCCAGATGAGCAGTTACTATGTTGTAGGTGTTGTTAGGTACCATCAAGCTAGCTCCATCTCATAGCAAACCCTATGAACAACAGAACAAAACACTACTCAGTCCTGCATCATCCTCACAATTGTTACATTTGATCCCATTACTGCTACTACTGTATCATTCCAGCTCGTTGGGGGTCTTCATCTTTTTCACTGACCTGGCATTTTACCAAGCATGCTGTTCTTCTCCAAGGACTGGCTCTTTCAATAACATATCTGAAGTAAGAGAGAACTCTTGCCATCCTGGCATCTAAGAAGCCTTCTGTCTGTACTTCTCACAAGACAGATTTATTTGTTCTTTTGTCAGTCTATGGTACATTTAATATTCTTCTCCAACACCATAGTTCAAATGCTTCAGTTCTTCTCTGGTCCTTATTAATTGTCCAACTTTCACATACATGTGAGGCTATTGAAAATATCATGGCTTGGGGTCAGGCACATCTTTGTCCTTAAACTGATATCTTTGCTCTTAAATACTTTGAAAAGTTCTTATGTAGCAAACTTGCCTAATGCAATACGTTGCTTGATTGTATAGGGTTTCCAGGTAGCACCTGGTGGGCTTGAACCATTGACTTTGCAGTTCAACTTTACAGTACAGCGCAGTAACTCACATCACCACACTCATAGGCTTCTTTTAATTTTCTTCAGCATTAACTTGAACTTCCATATCAGCAATTGGTCTGATCTTCGTTCAGCCTCTGATTGATGACATTGAGCTTTTCTTACATCCCTTTCCAGAGAAGTTTCATTCCTGTGTATTCCATCCAAAAGGTTCCACGTGTATTGTCATTTCTGTTTTCAAGAAAAGTATGTGTAATGATAGAGTCATTGGTTTTATACAATTCTATTATGTAATCTCAAGCCTCAAGCATCATTTCTGTTACCAAGACTGTATTTTCTAGCTACCTACTGTTCTTTCTTTGCTTCCAACATTCACATTCTAATCAACAGTTATCACTGCATCTTCCTCTTGCATGTTAGATCAATTTCAAACTACAAAAGTTAATTAAATCTATATGCACAAGAACACCCACACTTGCAGGTAATACCCACTTGACCTGGCTTCAATGGCTGGATGATCAAACTCAACTAGAAGAGGAAAAACAGAGTAATCTGATACAATTTGATGAACTTGACCTATACCTATGGATGCAGTAGCTCAAAAGAGTGAACAAATTTTTACAGCGAGGATCATTCCCACCCCCATTGATACACAGGGTAGACAGGGATGGGCGACTTGGACATTGGCTACCCAAAATGCAGGCAGCCCCCTTGCTTGCTACAAAAGCAAGAAGTGACTGTATTACAAGCTTTCAAGAGGGATACTAAAGGAGATGGGAATCGGATTCTTGTGGTACAATAGTGAATAACTGCTATCAGGATTGACTGTGAGGGTTGGAAATATAAAGGTAGATGTTTTGTAGCAAAAGGAGGGAAGTGTTTGACTTTGCAGTCCAGGAATGGGACCATGAAAGGAGAAGAGCAGTGTGCAGGACTCTACCCAGAGAAACAGTGACGGCAGAGATGATGACTTGGAGAGATGGAGCAGCTGGGGCCTCTAGACCCAGAGAGGGAGAGGGGCTGTGTGCTGACAACCAGGAGGCAGGCTGTAGTGTGTATATCATTTGGTTGTTTGATGATGCATGGAGGGGATTGTAACCATGGCAATGAAACGATATACGATAGGATGAATGTAAAGCTAATGTTCTCCCATGTAAACTATCACATAATTAACAATAAAACTTTTTTTTTTTAAATTAAATCTTCAATTTCTTCATCTTCGACATAAAAAAAAAAAAAAAGCTTAAGAAAAGAAAAAAAAAGCATTTATGGATATCATCCGGTCACTAATACTGTTGTACTTCAGGATACATCTTGAAATGTTATTTTTAATGAGTAATTCAACTCTGTTCCTCCTTAATGTGTCATTCCCAGCCTAGAATACCTTAGGATTATCTGATTTTAAATGGTTACCAGCAGTCCATTTCCGCTCAATAATGCTTAGGATATCTATTATCATGTATCCCTTTTCATTTTTTATGATTTCCAGTTTTCATAGATTTATATTTTGTCCATTTCCCATTCTGATTATTAATGGATATTTGCAAATGTCATCTCATTGTGAGTTGTGCCATATTAGCAAATGAAGGACCCAGTAGCTTTACTCCATCCACATCATTAGGGTCAAATCTACTTTGATGAGTCAAATTTTTCCCATTCATTACTCTGAATGCCTTCTAACCTGAAGCACACATCTTCCTGCACTATATCAATTTTCCACTCTTATTCATAGGTTTTCACTGGCCAGTTTTTTGTTTTTGTTTTTAAAGTAGATCGCTAATTCCTTCTACCTAGTCTGTGTTAGTCTGGAAGCTTCAGCTAATTTCTAGCATCATAGCAACACACAGCCACCACAGTACAACAAAGTGACAGACCAAATGGTGGTCAAAGAGAAGACTCGTTTCCTTTGTCACTTGCAAGATGGCAAGTTGTAGGCTGCCCATTCAAGTTTATTGGCCTGTTTCTGTCTTTGCCAGGTTATTAAAAGCAATGGGATGGCAGGAATATCCTGAAAATGATGAGAATTGCCTTCCCCTCACAGAAGATGAGCTCAAAGAGTTTCACATGAAGACAGAGCAGGTATGTCATTCAGTTACTTACAAGCCTTTCAAGTTCACCAGACGATCCTCAGAAACCCTATGCAGGGTTGCTACAAGTAGGAACCGACTCGACAGCACTTAACAACAATAACAACAAAAGCCATTTAACCAGGGACAAAAGGAATCAAGAAAGCCCATGCTCCTAGGGAACTCCCTGGGTTAGTGAGAGAGAAAAGCTCTTTTTTTTAAAAAATCAAGTACGTTTCTTAGAATGGTAGAAATGTAGACATCTAACACTACCAGCATATTAGCGTCATTAGGTATACAAAAACAAGGGCAGTGGTTATCAGATTTGAGAAAGTAGTATGTTCTATAATTCTCACTGCTGAATCATAAGGCTGTGTTCTCCAGAGTTTTGTTCTGAGCTCCAGAGTCCTTTGGTCCATAAGAAAGTAGGTTTATACTACATTATATTCATCTCTGGTTTCTTTCTAACAGTAAATAAGACATGGTTGGTTTTTTTTTTACAAACTTCTTGGAACTTTTATTTTAATAAAAGTTTTATCCATTAATTATAATTATGATGTTTATAGGAATGAGATACTGAGTGACTAACATTTTAAGACCTTTCTACTTAGAGTAAACTGTGTTCCTGATTTGTTGTTGTTAAGTGCTGTCAAGTCATAGCAACCCTATATAGGGTTTCTGAGGAGTGGCTGGTGAGCTTGAACCAATAAACTTGTAGTTCAAACCAACCTTGCAGTCCAGTGCTTATCCTATAGTGTCATACCAGGACTCCTGATAGATTGCTAGAAATATGGGATCTCAAACCCTATCCCAGACATACAATCAAGAGAATTTTTTAAAGAACCTTATATGATTCATATGCACATTCAAGTTTGCAAATACCTGCTATATTCCTAAACCTGGTCTTTTCTAGGGTCCCATGGACCAGTATAGTCATCAGTGGTTTTTCTTTTTTTCTTTGTCTCCCATGTTACTTCCTACAGCTAAGAAGAAATGGCTTTGGAAAGAATGGCTTCTTACAGAACCGCAGTTCCAGTCTCTTTTTTCCTTGGAGAAGCACTGGTAAAGCAGAGTTTGAGGACTCAGACACAGAAACCAGTAGCACTGAAACATCAGATGATGATGCCTGGAAGTAGGCATATAAATGCTCACCCAGTAAACTCTGCCTGTGTGTTAGGGAATATACAAAAGAAACCCTTCTTTTCCTTTTCTTACATTATTGTTGAATACTTCATGCACAAGGGAAATAATCATATCCCAAAGAGAGAGCGATTGGCTTGTTTAGCTTTTATTGTTGTTCTTCCCAGTTTTTTGCATAATAAGAGAGAAGTTTGTGTGATGGGAAAGATTAAAAAATATATATATATATACATATATATATATACACACAGTATATATGGGGCAATGCACAGGTGGAAGCTGGCAGTGCAGAGAGGAGAAGACACTGGTCTGCAGCAACCGCTTCTACTACCAGCCCCTGGGGCACTCACCCCTGTGCTCAAGCAATCATTGTCAATGACAAAGTGACTATTGAAGTTATAATTGTATTAAATTAATGCTAATAATTTGGATATTTTATTTTATTTTTGGCTGCTCGGGTAACTTTAGCCCTTAACCAAGCAAATGTGGTTTTCTTTCTTTCTTTTTTTTGCAGGGGGTTGGGAGGGAGGTACAGCTGTAAAATATTTGGATATAGGAAATGTTGTGTTATTCTTGCAGCCTTGATATTCAGGGTGGATTGTAAAATATAAATTTTTGTGAGATTTCAAAGATTAAGATTATTTTGATAACATTATTTACAGATTTAAAAGATGTGGCTATCACAAGTCTGTTATGAGGGGGAAAACTGCATAAAATAACTAACTTGGAATAAATATTTTGCATCAGTTTGGATTGTCTTTTGTAAGAATATTTTCTTTATATGAAATACATTCCTTTTAGGGGAAACATTTTTAGAATCTGGGAGAATCTTAAATCAGGCACAATCATTTCTCCTTTTAGCAGGTACTTTTTTGATGGAGAAACTCCTAAGTAATAAAATTAGAAGTCCAATTTTCCTTTCCCAAATCACTTATTATTACATATGTATTTGCCAGGGATCCCAGGAGGTATAAATGGGTAAGCAGTCTGTTGCTAGCCAAAAGCCTGGTTAGCAGTTCTCACCTACCCAGAGGCTTCATGGAAGAAGATCATGGCTGGCTGCTGCTTCCATAAATATTACAGAAAATCCTCTGGTGCAGTCGGTTCTACTCTGTCACATATGTGACTACACAGGATAGCACACAACAACAATGTATTTACCACTATGCGTATTTCAAGGCAGATATTTCCTGCTATACAAAAACGAGAAGGGGATTAAGGCAATGCTAGTTGCAAGGCTAGTGGAAGAAGCAGGCTCTTATTCTACAGAATTCTTCCCAAGTCCCTACTGAATGTCTCAGGCACTCTGCATGGCTCTGTGCATTAAGTGACCAGCCTAATAGAAGATAAAGTAAGTTATAATAGAGAAGATGAAATCTTAGGTCACAATCTGATGAATCAGTCAAAATTATAGTCAGTAGGTGTTGTTTAATGTAATTTTTTGTCATTGGTAAATGCCGTCCAATTGGTTCTAACTCACAGGATCCTAAAGGGTTTCCAAGAAGCACTCAGTGGATTTTAACCACAAACTTTGTGGTTGGCAGTCCAATGTTTATTCTACAGTGCTACATCAGGGCAGCCTACAATAATTATTGTTATTAAGTCCCATCAAGTTTATTCCAACCAATAGCGACCCTGTATAGGGTTTCCAAGGGGCAGCTGGTGAACTTGAACCGCCCTACTGCAGTTCAAACGGCTTTGCAGTCTGGTGCATTAACCCACAACACCACACCAGGACTCCATCTACAATAATTAATCCTTAGTAAATAACTTCTTGTTGCAGTTGTGCCATCGAATCAGTTCTGATTCAGAGACCTTGTATAGGGTTTCCAAGGAGCGTCAACATTGTGGCTAACAGTCCAGTGCTTATTCTACAGCGTCATACTAACTGATTAGTAGAGGACCAGGAGATACACATAAGCTGTCATAGAGATACACATAAGGAAACAGATCTCATTGCATGTTAGAAAAAATTATTTGTAGTCTGAACTTTGGACTAGATAGGGAGAGACTAGAGGCAGAAAGATCAGTAGGGCAGTTGCTATTTTCTGTGGCACTATAGGATAAGCACTGAATCACAAGGTTGATTTGAACCGCAAAGTGGCAGTTCAAACCCACCAGCCACTCCTTGGAAATGCTATACAGGGTCTCTATGAGTTGAAACTGCCTCAACAGCACTTAAGAACAGCAAAAACAAAAGACAAAAAGGCAGAGAGCCTGCCTGCCATACTGTGACTACTGCTAACAGTGTAAGTAATTCAAGTGCAAATGACAGTGGACATACCAGTATAAGTCAAAATATTGCTACACAATTATAGAAACTTTTATTATATAAAAATATCAAATTGTGAAGCTATTGTTTCTTGACATATCCTCTAAGTCTATATACTTCTAAAAACAGTGTTTCCATCTCTCTTACCTTTCCCCAAAGAAATGTTTACTCTTTTTTTTTTTAATTTACCCCATGTTTCTGAAGCTGGGTTTTCAAACCCAGTGAAACTAGTAAATGTATATAGAAATTTACATCAAGAAAATGGCTTACATAGTTGCAAAAGTGGGCAAGTCCCAAGTCCATTGGTCAGATATCAGGCTGGAAACTCCTAACTCAACGTGGCTCCAGGATGGATGAACCCAGGTTGCTACGTCATGCATGTAAGATGGCCTGAGAACTTCCAAGGTCAACAGGTCAGATGTCTAGCTGCTGATCCCTCCCAGGATTAGCAAGCAATAGAGCAAGTCACTGGCTTAAGTACAAAGAATGAGAAAGTTGGATGACGAGCCAGATACAGAATCAACCCCAGGAGAAAACCAAGCCGTTTTTCCCCCAGTGTCCAATATATTGGAAGTAGGCCACACTCCTAAGGAACCTTCCTTTCAGTTGATTCACTGCTCATAGCAGAGCTCTTCTTAACTGCCAAACCACTGAGAATCCTGGCCCAGTCAAATTGACACAAAACAAAATAGTATATCAAACCGTTTTGACATCTTTGAGGGATTCTAATTATTGCTACCTTCAATTGTTAGTTTGGAGGGCAAAAGCCTGAAATGGCAGGATCAGAGCTGTAGAGTCGATGGGGTAAGGTTTCCCATGAAATCCTTGAAGGACTCAGCTTCAGAGGATAGGGCAGAGAGGTGGACTGAGTGACAACTGGAAGATGAAGCTGAACAGGAGCAGCAAAAGAGAAGAAAAACTTGTGGGTCGGCTGACCTGTAGCAGGCAGCTGTTAATACAGCAGCCTAGAGGGAGAAACAGGATGCCCTCAGGCCTGTAGCACCCCCTCCTGTGTAACCTCTACTCTGCCTGGGCTTGGGTGCCAGGCATACCACCCCAATGTATGGAGGTACATGAACCCACCCTGAACTGTTCTAAACAAACTGAACAGAAAACTTAAGTCATAATTCTAGTCTGTATCACATCTACCAGGAGGCAGATGGTGAGTACTGAAAACAACTTACAATCATCGATTTAGCATGAGTAAACGAACACCACAATGTCTTAAGACACAACAATTTCAACCTATACAAAGAAATAAGAGTACCTTAAACAAGTGACCAAATTACAGTCCGAAAATATACCAGAAATTGTTTTGGAACTACTTCGTAAGGAATTTTAAATACTGAGGTACTTTCAATGGATTGAGAAAATGGGCCAGAAAACTACAGATGGAATGAAGGAAAACACAAAACTACAGAAGAATTCAGGAAAATGCTACAAGAACAAAACTCACAATTGAAAATGATACAAAGACAGTAATTAGAAAACCAGATATTAATACTAAGACTTGAGAAATAGTACATTAAAAGGGCAAAGAAATAGAACTGAATCAATGGGAGGCTGAATTAATGAGCTTGAAGACAAATCTCAATATTCATTTGCAGAGAAATAACCAGAAACAAAAATACCTAACATGTATGTGGGATATCCAAAGGAATAATTATATGTGATTGAAATTCCAGAACGGGGGGGGGGGGGGGGGG